GAGTCACTCAGACGGGCCTCGTTGCACGCGTTGTAGGCAGCCGCGAGCGCCGAGTAGGATGGGCACGAGGGGCGGCGCATGCCCCATCTGGGCGGGAAGTCGAGGGCGAAGGGACGGGCCAGCGCGCGTCGAAGTGCCGACCAGAGGACAGGGCAGCGGGCGTAGTGCTTGAGCGCGCCCCCCTTGCCGAGGCAGCCAAATGCGCAAGGGCGCCCCCCGCGTGGCGAGATGATGCGGGCGGATGTCATCCGACCATCGGACCGCGAGCGGGTCACCGCCCACGCCCACGAGCACGGGCGCCGCCGAAGAACGGCCTGGCAGGCGCCCCAGTCCACGTAGCACAGGGACCTGGCGTGCTGGCCAGCGATCTCGGCAATGCGCAGGGTGAACAGGGCACGGGGGGGACGTGCTGCGAGCGACACTTCGCGCGTGCAGCATGCGCGGCTCGCTGGGGTCGGGGGCGAGAGCGGCCGCCGAGGTCCAGTGCCGCCAGGGCCGCGTCGAGCGGGGTGCGGCCGAAAGCGGCCAGCGGACCAGGAGGGCGACCAGCAGCAGCGGCCTCCAGGTTCTCGACAGACGCGGGCGCCTTCCAGAAGTTGGGGTAGGGGAGGCCCGTGGCGAGCATGTCGAGAGTGGCCCATGCGGGGTGTTCGTCAGCATGCGCCCGAAGCGCTGCCGGCAATTGGGGTCAGCACTGGAAGGTGAGCGCGGCAGCACGAGTGATGGTGGCGGTCGTGAGGTCTCCCCAGCGAATGCAGCGCGGACCGCCCCAACGGTCGAGCTGGGACCAAGCGTCGAGGTGCAGCGCGCCGAGTGGGGGCCTGAACACCTGCGCGAGCACCGACAGTTCTGGCTGGAGAACGGACTTCGGGGGCCAGCAGAACTGAGCAACGTCTGAGAGTGTGGTGACCGCCCTCGTGTTGTAGAGAATGGCGGAATGGCTGGCAGGGGTAGTGCCGTGCCCAATTGCTTGAGCCCTCAAAAGGAGCTTCGAAGGTGGCCCACTCCATGAAGTAGAGGGGGAGACAGCGTGGCCTAGCCAGAGGCGAAGATACAACAACTGCGAGGTGATCTCGAACCCGATCCACTCAGGAATCTCCCTCTCGATAGTATCCCGAACGTCCCTGGCCAACGCCGCGGAGAAGGGGCCAGGAAGGGGGACCACCTTGCACTTCGCCACTTTCAGGTCCAAGTTAGCCATAGCCGACGCACACGACATGACCTGTGAGACCTCGGAGAGGGCCTGGGCGGATCTCAGGGCGCCGCCGATATCATCTGCACAGGCTCTGATAAGGCCCAACTGAGGGCCCTCCACCTTCTCAGCCAGGTCCACGAGGAACGCGGCCGCGCCCAGGGCGCGCAGTGTACCAGAGAGGGGACAACCCTGGATAATGCCGCTCTGGATCCAGAAGACGTGCTCGAGATGACCCTTGTGCAACGTGGCCCCTTCGATCGACGAGTAGATGGACGCAGCGAACTGCGCGAGGATGGCCAGGGGGGCCCATGGGGGTGAGGCAACGCATCAGGAAGTCCTGGTTGAGAGAGGGGAAGGCCTGGCCGAAATCGAGGGAGAACAGGACAGGGATGTCGCGGGAGGCGTGGGGCGTGACAGACAGGATCCTGCTCGCGACATCTAGCTCGAGGATGTTGACCCCGAATTTCCGACCAGGAAAAAATCCGCGCTGGCACGGGGGCGCCAGGGCCTGCAACGCAGGGCGGGTGGCGTGGTTGACCACCGCGGGGATGATCTTGAGGTCGCGATTCCGAGGCCCCAAGACCCGAACTTTGTCAGGGGAACAAATGCACGTGCGGTCAGCAAGCTCGGCGTCCGTGACATTCTTAGGGGGAAAGATCTGGGGCGTATCCCCCGAACAGGCGAAGAGCTCCTGGCCCTTGAGGATCCACTCGAGAGCCTCCCAGATAATATCAATATTAATAGGAGAGGCCGCCCACGCAGCATAAGGCAAGGCATCGGGTCCAGGGGCTGAGTGGCGCGCAGTACGAATAACCCGTCTCATCATCCCCTTCGACGGCGGCGGCAGCGCAACATGATGAGCTGTAGGTAGGTGACGGCGGAGATAGACGTCAGCGGCAGCAGCATCCCACGACTTCTTGCGAAACACAGGCGCCCAATAAGCGGAGAGCTCACAGGTGCGATCCTCAGGGTCGGTGACGATCCTCCCATCATCCAAGGCGACGCCAGACAGCGAAAATCGGCGATTTAGCGGCGACAGCGAGTCTGAAACCGATCCCCCTCACGCCGGCGCGCGGCCTCGAGACTTTTCCGAGCACTCTCAGCAGCCTCGCTCTGGACCTGGTCGACCCAAGCCAGGGGCGACGGGGGGCGGCGAAGCTCGACGCGCCAAGGCGCTAACGGGATGAAATCACCCGCGAGCGGGTGGGAATCCAAGAGGCGGGCGGCGAGCGAACGGCCCTGGCGCCAAACCGCCCTAGCGGGCGACCGCGCGAGCTGGACAAGCGTGGCAGGATGATGGGGGCGCTGAAGGAAGAGGGTATCCCTGGTCTCGGCTGCAGCGATCCTCAAGAGCTCTTTGTATTTCTCTAGCTTGACAGGGGGTGGCATCGCTCCCCAATGCACTGCGCTGCACAGACCTTCCAGACGCCGCCGAAATGCAGGAACGCCAAATATGTGTTTCCGGATGGGCCTGGCGCTTGGAGGGCGAGCAGCTCGAGCAGACATCGTAAGAAGCACCGCTGCATGGTCTGAGATCCTGCGCTCGGATAGGGCCTCGGGTGTACCAATCGTGCAGACCTGAGAGTGAACTTGACGCATCTGCCAACCCGAGAGCGAACAGAAGATGCGATCGATGGATGAGCACGAGCCAGATGATTTTTCGAAGTGCGAGGGGTCCTCGCACGCAATCTCGGTGAGGCAAGCGAGCGCCTCTCGCCAGCGAAGCTCCTGTCCATGGTGCCGTCTGTCACCGCGACGGACGGCTGCGGCGGGGGGCGCAAGCGCCAGCGCATCGTGCACGGCAAAATTGAAGTCGCCCAGCACAACTGTGGTGTACATGTCGGGCTCCTCCTGTGCGCGTAGGCGTGAGGCCTTGATCGCCTCAGTGGCTTTGCGGATGTCCGAGTGGGAGAGCTCGTGGTTGTGGATGTTGAATATATCCACTGTATGAGAAGCCGAAGATATCGGGACTACGTTGGCACGCCCATGACTGTGCACCCTCTGCGCTGTAGTCGGAAGAACCCCGTTGGAGCCCACGAGAGGAGGAACCAAGATAGCCACACCGCCGCGAACATGGCCCGACACTGGGCCCTGGTCGAAACTGGAGAAGACGGACATGTCATTCGCGATGGTCGCAATGAACGAGACGAGCTGGTGGTGATCCTGGTGGATCTCCTGGAGCGCAATGATAGTGCATGCTGGGCGGATGCTGCTCAAGTACGACTTCTTGATTCGGGCCACGTCAACGCCGGCCTGCAACAAGGCTCTAGCATTCCACGTAGCCAACCTCAGGGTGGGAACCTCGGACGGGAGAGCACTGGGAGCAAGCAGGGCGGCGGCGCTAAAGAGACCACTGCGACGGACCCGAGGGATGGGTGATGTCGCGGCAGGCCGCGCGGAGGGTCTCCACATCCATGCCGTGCTTGGCGAGAACGGGGGTGTCCCAGAAGATCTTGGGCGGTGTGTCCCCGTGCGCAACCTGCATCTGCATGAACTTGTCCCAGCCGATCGGGAGGGCGCCGCGCTCCTTGTCGGAGAAGAGCCGCCTGCCTGGGCACTGGAGTTCGACAGCCTGTCGAACCTTGCAGAGGGAGATCTCCAACTTGATACGCTTGGGGGACTTGTCGGGGCCCGAGTGGAGCCTGCACTTTTCAGCGCCAGGAGGGGTGGCCCAGAACTCCTTCCAACCCGACTGGTCACGGAGGCTCGAGATGGCGGAACGGGCCTTCCGAGCGGCAGCGCCAGACGGACCTTTGAACTGTACCTCGAATCGGCGAGCTGGGGCAGCACCACGAAGCACGCTGGAGTTGTCCTCGCTGGTGAAATTGAGGCCCTCGAGCCAGGGCTGGAGGGAGGCGACGATGCTGGCCTGGGTGGTGGGCTTCTGGGAGACAGCGACAACGATGGTGCAGTCCTCGGCGCGCTCGAATGACGAGGGAGGGGGCTGTTCATCACGAGGGGCTGCGGCGGCAATGGCGAGCTGCTTGCGAAGCTCCGCGATCTGTTCGCGAAGGGCCTCGATGTCGGAATCGTGGGAATCGAACCTGGTCTGGGCGGCGAGTAACTGGGCCGTGTGTTCGTCGATCTGAGACTGGAAGCGACGGCTAACCGCATCGAGCCGAGGGGCGAGCGCGGACTGGACCTGTTGCTCGACGCCGGTGGCTTGCTTGGCGACCTCCGCCTGCATGGCCGAGAGCATGGTGAGAAGAGTGGTGTGGTTCTCGCCGACAGTCTTGGACACGCTGCTGCTGACTTCAGAGGTGATGGTGCCACGCATGAGCTGGAACTCCTCACGGCACACCTGCCTGAGGTATTCGTCTGACGTGAAGTCGTCGTCGTCCATGTCGGCGGGGCCGTCAGAGCCAGGGTCGACAGGAACGTCAGCAGCGAGCCTCTTACGAGCACCAGAACGGAGAGAGCCTTTGCCTTTGCCCGCAACACGAGCGGGGGTCTCCTGACTGGGGAAGGTCGGGACAGAGTCGACGGCCTCGCGAACTCTCGGAGTTCCTGGGACGCGAGGGGGGCGCCATCGGCCATGACACGAGGGAAGAGGAGATGTCCGCCAGCTGCTGAAAGCTGGATAGCCCCGAAGGAGGGCTGCCTCACTCAAAACGGGCCTGTCCCGATCTTGAGCCAAAATGGCAACGGAGGAATAGGAGGAGGAAGAGGAGGAGGAGGAGGAGGAGGAGGAGGAGGAGGAGGAGGAGGAGGAGGAGGAGGAGGAGGAGGAGGAGAAGGGGGAGGAGGGGGAGGAGGAGGAGGAGAGGAGAGGAGGAGAGGAGGAGGAGGACCCCCCCCGCCCCTCCTAGGCCGCCGTACTTCTTCATCGGCGTAGGGCACTGCGGGGCCCTCAGGGCTCCAGCTGCTGCTGCGGCCGCCGCTGGCGCCTCGCTCGGGCGGGCAGAGAGGCGCGCGGCCGCGCGGGGAGGGCGGGTGGACCGGGCAAACGGAGGAGGGAGGGAACGTAGGGGAGGGGGGGGGATGGGGGGAAGGAGGAGAGGAGTAAGGGGAGGAGGGGGGAGGGGGGGAGGAGGAGGAGGAGGAGGAGGAGGAGGAGGAGGAGGGAGGAGGAGGAGGAGGAGGAGGAGGAGGAGGAAGAAAAGGAGGAGGAGGAGGAGGAGGAGGAGGAGGAGGAAGAGGAGGAACCGGACGATGTGGATGGGGAGGCAGACGTGAACAAGGAGGCGGACGAAGAGCAGGTGACGTGTGTCAGCATGGAGGGAAGGCCGGGAGGAGAGCAACGAGGAGGGGGAGCAGGAGGTGGAGCATGATGCGGACGACATCTACGACCACGATGACCAAAATGACAGCGACGACGGCAAGGACGGTGACGGGCGACGGCGGCGAGGAAAAACGGCATTCAACGAACCCTCTGCGCCTCCGGGCGTGCCCCGCCATCGTTGGCGCTCGCGCGCGCGCCGCCCCCGCGCGCGCGCCGCCGCCGCGCGGGCCCGCCCGCGCGCGCGTGCGCAGGGCGCCGCTGGCGAGCGGGCCCTCGGCGGAGCGGAGCGGGCGGCCGCGCGGCGCGTCGTCGGCGCTGTTGGCGCTGTCGTCGTCGTCGTCGTCGTCGTCGTCGTCGTCGTCGTCGTCGTCGTCGATGTCGATGTCGCCGCGCAGCTGTCGCCGCCTGCGGCGGCGCCCTCGTCGGCGTCGGCCTTCGGCGGCCTCGTCGTGGCCGGTGGCGTCTTCGGGCCAGCGCAGGTGCGTGTCCGTTGCTCTGGGACGGTGGTCTGAGGCGGTTCGCGGTCGAGGGCGCGGTCGGGTCGCACGAGGTACCCGAGAGGGTTCCAGTAGGACTAGAAGGTGGGCCATGTCATACAAGCGGCTCGTACGCAACACCACAGCAAACGAATGAGGGGATGGGGAGGAGGCGGGGGAAGTGTGGCGGAGGAAGGAGCGGAAGCGATAGATGTGCGAGTGTTCTGAAAACGTGCCGAATCATGCGGCCCAACCACTGAACACGATTTTTGACTCAACGCCGTGGCAATCTTCGGCAAGCTGAGCCACACCCTGATCTGCGGCCGTAGACGCTGAGCCAGCGAAGAGGAGGGGGGGATGGAGGAGAGGGAGTAGGGCGAGGGCGAGGATAGGAAGAATGGGGAAAAGGACGAACACCCGGGTGTGGCCGGCCTTTCTTTATGTGTTTCTCTCTCTTTTTTTTTTTTTTTCTCTCTCTCTCTCTCTCGTCCTCCCCCCCTCCGGAAAATGGTGGCCCCTCCCCAGCCCCGTCCGCGGCGCGGCGGGCAAAGGGCGCGCCCTGTGGGTAACGCGTCAGCGGTTGCGAGAAAGGACGCGGATGAACATAAACAGGAGTGAGGACAACCAGGGGATGTTTTCGGACCAGTGGGCAGATTGGATCTGCTTGCGAGCACTACGTGGCCATGAGAAGGTCACAGTTCTCGGCTTCTTTGACCCCCGAACTTCACCCACAAGACTTCTTGGAAACACCCTCCCTCTTCGATCCACCCGAGCACCGAAGGCTGGATCGGCGCAAGGCCCTGGTGACGGCGCGCTTCAGCCACGGGGAGGGAGGAAACGCTTTACCTGGCACGCAGACAGCGGGCCAGCCTCCTCACGTCGCTACATCACGGTCACCCTCTACTGCGTAGAGACGTGCCCTAAGGACGATGGGAGGGGCGGAGGAAGAAGAATGCTTCTCCGCCACCGTGCCTGCAACGAATGGGCGTGTTAGGCCGACTCGGGGACCTCGGGGTCGTTTTTGGGGGCCTCTTTGGCCGTCTGGGGGCGGGTGGGGGCGTATTACGCCGGCCTGGGTGCCCTTTCCCCATCCCCTGGAACCTCTCCATAGAAGACTTCGCCCCACCAAAAACGTCATCACCCGCACCTCGCTCTTTTCGTCATGCTTCTCTGTTGGCTTGAACGTGCTTCAGTCTGTCCAGGGCTGGCCCCAGAGGCCCCGGGAGGCCCGAAATCCCAGGAATGGTGTTCTGGCACGATTTAGGACTGTCTGGGCGCAGCAGCGACGTTGATCTGTGGCGCTGAAGTCCCAGGGATGCGTTTTGTATAGAGAAAAGATTATCTGACGGTTGTTTTCCAATTGGGCACGTCCGGCAACGAGAACCAGGTCTTGCCAATTCTAGTGACCTATGAAGAGGGTCCTTGGAGGGAGGGTTTATTGCAACATCGTTGGTGCCTCTTGGGCTTACACTGGTCCTCCTATTCCTCCTCCTCCTCCTCCTCCTCCTCCTCCTCCTCTAACTTCTCCCCGTCGCCCCCCGAGGCCGGTCGAAAGGGCGGGCCGGGTGTTTCTCCTGAGACTTCCTCACCACTTATGACCCTGAAGCTGGACAGTTGGCAACAGCTTCGCAGATAGAGGGCGGGTCGTTTTCAACATGTGGCTCCTTCCCTAGCGCCGCGCACATTCGTTGTAGAAATTTGCAAACCTTCGCGGGTTGAGGGCGGGTGGTTTCCAACATGTGGCTCTCCCCGGAGCCCCGCGCATACTCGTCTGAAAAATTGCAGGGGCTTCACGGATTGAGGGCGGGTCGTTTTCAACATGTGGCTCTGACCTTAACGCCGCGCACATTTGGTTTAAAACAATGCAAGGGCTTCACGGGTTGAGGGCGGGTGGTTTTCAAAATCTGGCTCTCGCCTGAGCGCCTCAAGCACGCCGCGCGCATTCGTAAACAATTGCAGGGCCATCACGTGTTGAAGGCAGGTGGTTTTCAAACTGTGGTTCTCGCCTTAGCGCCGCGCACATTCCTGAAACAAAACCTGCAAGAGCTTCACGGATTCCCCTGGTCAGCGTATCAGATATGATGTATGGGACAGATTCTGGATTATAGAACTGCAGCAAAATTTTGATTCGCGGTGTTGAAGTCCCAGGAATGACGTTCTGGCACGATTAAGGATCGTCAAGACGCCACAGTCAGGTTGATCTGTAGCGTTGGAACTCATAGAAACGCTGTGGCACGCTTCAGACACTTCAAACGGTTGTCTTCCAACGAGGCAGGTCCCTCAATGAAAATGACCGCTGTATGGGCCTATGGAGAGGGAGCCTGAATGGAAGGTTTATTCCAACATCGTTGGTGACTCTTGGGTTTACACTGGTCCTCGTCCTCCTCCTCCTCGTCCTCCTCCTCCTCCTCCTCCTCCTCCTCTCGGCTGGGGGTACACATGCTCCAATAGCTTGGCCAAGCTCTGCCCCAACGTTTGGCCACATCGGTATTTTCATAAAGGCAGTGGGCGGCGGTGGTTCGCCAACGTATGCGTTTCCGACAACGACAGGAGTAGGAGGGTAAATGGGCAGGAGGGGCACGGCGTCTGAGCCAAATATGGAGTATGAGGGAGAAGGGGACGGATAACAAAGAGCACAAGTAATGTTTACCTCCCGGTTGACCTCACCTCTCATCTTCCTCTTCTTCCTCTTCTTCCTCTTCTTCCTTCTCCTCCTCCTCCTCCTCCTCCTCCCCCTCCTCCTCCTTCTCCTCGTCCTCGTCCTCCTCCTCCTCCTCCTCCTCGTCCCCCCTACCCCACACTATCCCGCACTTTCCGCCCTCCTCCTCCTCCTCCTCCTCCTCCTCCTCTACCGCCGACGAAGAGGAGGAGGAGGCGAAGAACAGGGAGATTGGGAGTAGGAATATGCCGAGAAGAAGTGGAATGCTCCTTATGAGAAAAGGCCAGATGAGCAAGGAATAGGGGGTATGCTGAATCGAACGAACAATAGAAAAGGGGGGGCTGACCAGAGAAGGACGAAGACCATCAAAACGACTTAGCATGAACAGGTGAAGGAGATGGAGCAATGATAAGACAGCGATGATGAGGGGTGAGAGGTCATGATGCGTATGAGGAAGGGAAGGATGAGGAGGAACATTAGGAGGATAAGTAGGAAGAATAAGAGGAGCGAACAATATAATGAGGATAGAGAGAGAGAGAGAATAATGACAAGTACACGGTGGGTGCTAAGGAACATGACTGGTGAGACCTCGGACGCGGACAGCGCGCTAACCTGCCAGCAACTCCCCGACGTGGTCGTACTTCGAGCGGAAAAGCTCCTCGGTGGACAAGGTGGAGTTCCTCCTCCTCCTCCTCCTCCTCCTCCTCCTCCTCCTCCTCCCCCTCCTCTGTCCTTCCCTTCCCTTCCTCCTCCTCCTCCAATTCCTTCAGTCTTTCTCTTTCTCTTTTTCCTCCTCCTCCGCCTCCTCCTCTCTCTCCTCCTCCTCCCTTGCCATCCCCCCTTCACATACATTCCTTGCCCTGCTCGTGCTCTGCTCTTCCTTCTCCTCCTCTTCTCCTCCTCCTCCTCCCCTTCTCCTCCCCTCCTCCTCCTCCCTCCTCCTCCTCCTCTCCTCCTCCTCCTCCTCCTCCTCCTCTCTCCTCTCACCTTCCGCCCCTCCCTTTCACTCTTCTCCTTCTGATGATACTGTCCTCCCTCCTCCTCCCTCTCCGCGCCTCCTCCTCCTCCTCCTCCTCCTCCTCCTCCTCCTCCTCCTTCTGCTCCTCTAACTCCCCCGTTCCTCCCCACCTGCGCGGCCGCACGTACTCTGAACGATGGCTCCTTCCAGCTCTGGAGGGTGTCGAGCTCCTCCGTGAAGGGGGGGGCGCCACCCGTGTCAGCGCAAAGGTGCGGTTCTCCGGATCTCTTCTCCTCCTGCTCCACCTGTTCCTCCTGCCCCTGCTGCTGCTGCTGCTGCTGCTCTTCCATCATCCCTCACCCCTCATGCTGCTGCTCTCCTCTTCATCCTCCTCCTCTATCTGCCCCCTCCTCTTCCCCACCCTCCTCCGCCACCTCATCCTCATCTTCCCTCTTGTATTCCCTCCTTACCTCCACCTCCTGTATCCATGTCAGTTCAAGTATTTGATGTCTGTCTGTTTGTATGTATGTATGTCTGTATATGTGTGTATGTGTATGTGTGTATGTGTATGTATGTCTGTGTGTCTGTATGTGTATGTCTGAATGTCTGTAGCTCTGTATGTCTACATGTATGTATGTAGGTATGTAATTATGTATGCATGTATGTATTCATTCATGTTCCCCAATCGGTGCTTGCACTGAAGGGGTCCTACCTGAGATTGAAAGATTCTACGAACATTCCGGGCCAATTTCGGTGGGCGGCCGGGTTCTCGGATTCCCGGCTCCGGGTTCCCAAATTCCCGGTTCCGGGTTCCGGGCCGATTTCGGTGGGCGGCGGGGTTCCCGGGTTCCTGGTCGATCTTCGAATCGATCGGTCTCACCATTGACCTCATTACCATCTCTATCGATCTCACGATCGATCTCACAATCGATCCCACTATCGATCTTACAATCGAACTCACTATAGATCGCACGAGCGATCTCACGATCGATCGCATTGAATCGACTTCACTATCGGTCTCACGATCGACCTTACTATCGTCCTCGCTATCGATTGCACTATCGATTTCATATTCGAATACCCGAATCACGAATTTGCAAACCATCTACCGATTAAGGCTTTTCTCTGATGTCATATGTATGTTTGTGTATGTATGAATGTATGTATGTAGTCTAGTGTACTGCGATGACATGTGCTATAATGTGATGTGGTGTGGTGTAATGCGATGTAACCTATGTGTGGATGCATGCTTGAATGTATGTACACATTCATGTGTATGTATGTCTGAATGTATGTGTGTCTATATTTGTATGCATGGTTGTAAACCTGTACGTGTGCAAGTACGACTGCATGCATGTCGATGCATGTATACGTAGATATGAGTGCAGGTATGTATATATGTCCATGTGATGTGTATGTTTGTATGCATGCATGTATGCATGGCTGTCTGTATGTATGTATGTATGTTTGTATGTCTGCATGTATGTGTGGGCATGTCTGTGTGCATGTATTCACGGGTGTACGTACATGCGTGTGCGTGTATGTATGCATGCATGCATGTCTGTATGCATGCATGTGTGTATGCAGGTATGTATGCCGGTATGTGAGTAGGTGCATGTCTGTAGGTATGCATCTATATCTTCTAGAACCACGCGCGCTTCGCGCGCGCTCACGTTCAAGCAGGCCCCAGGACTTGACGAGTTTACTGCTCCACTGAAGTAGTGGGCCACGTACGGTTTGAACGGGAAAAGAAGTAGTGTCAATCCTTATTCCGGAAGGCTTTCGGGGAAGATCGCTGCGTGAGGTGGCGGAGGCCTGATGAATCGGGATCCCAGAAGGCCTTCTGGGAACATGGTTTTTGGGGGCGTCTTGGGGAGCCTGTTGGGGCGTGGCGTCGTCGTCGTCGTCGTCGTCGTCGTCGTAATGTCGTCGTCGCCTCTTGGGGCGCGCCGTCGTCGTCGTCGTCGTCGTCGTCGTCGTCGTCGTCGTCGTCGTCGTCGTTCTCGTCTTTATCGTTTCGTCGACTTCGTCGTCGTCGTCGTCGTCGTCGTCGTCGGATGGACCCCTCCCAGGATCCATCCAGCGCAATTTTCCACTTCAGGTCGAAGCCCGACGACCGCCGGGCCCGAGAACGGCCCCCGAAGGCAGAGAGTGCCGAACAACCATTTCGAACATCGAAGTTCGAAGTTCGTCGTCGTCTTCGTCGCCGCCGCCGCCGCCGTCGTCTTCGTCGTCGGCAGACGTGTGCAGAGAAGGCGATCAGTCATGTTCCGAGTCAGCTTCCCAGACAGCTCTCTGGTAGCGCGATGGTACTTCGGAGCCTCCGGAGACTCTCGGGCCTTTGTTGAAGCATGTCCCCGGAAGGCTTTCTGGGGACATGATTTGTTGGGGTGTGTTGGGGGTCCTCTTGGGCGTTCCCTGGAAGCCCCTTGGGGGCCTGGGGCTTCCTTGGGGCCTCAGGGGGCTTCTTGGGAGCTTTTGGTGGCCTCCGGGGGCCTACTGGGGGCCTCTAGGACCAGAGACCTTGAAATATCGGTTCGTGGGCACTCTCTTGGCCCCCTCTTGGGGCGTTCTTGGGGCACACTTGGACTGTCTGGGGGGCCTCCTGGGCCGTCTTGGGGCCCTCTTCGGGGCCTCGTGGGCCGTCTTGGAAAGACCAGAAGGGCCTCCGAGGTCGTGAGGGAGCGCTGGGAAGCGGGAAAAGCGAGAACGCCAACACCTTCCGATAACGCTCGGAAAATTTATGAATTTTGCCTCCCAGGGCCTTCTTGGGGAGCCTGAGGCCGTCCTGGGGCGTGTTGGGGTCCTCGACGGCCGTGTTGAGGGCATCTTGGGCGTCTTTGGGGCCTCTTGGGCCCGTCTCGGGCCCTCTTGGGACCTCCTTAGCCTGTCGTGGCCCACTTCGGGGCGGGCCTGGGCCGTCTCGGGAGCTCTGGGGCCCCCCAGAATCCCCGGGGGGCGCCCATGGGGGGTACAAGCACCGGCCCAGATCCCCGCCCTGGCCTACTACGATATATATATATATATATACACACATATATATGCATACACATACATACATCTATATATACATATATATACAAATATATATATATATATACACATATATGTATATATATGCTCACACGTTCACATGCATACATACACACCTACACATATACATACATACAAACATACATACATACATCCATCCATCCATCCATCCATCCATCCATCCATCCATCCATCCATCCATCCATACATACATACATACATACATACATACACACACATACATACATAGATACATGCATACATGCATACGCACATACGTACATACATACATACATACATGCAGACATGCATCCGTACATACATACATGCAGACATACATACATACATGCATGCATACATGCAAACATGCATGCATGCATGCATACATACATACATACACATACATACACACATCCACATACACACGTACATGAATGCATGTATGCATACATACACACACATACATACATATGTATACACATGCACACATGCATATATACTGACATGTATGCATCCATGCATCCATACGTATATACACATCCATACATGCATACATGCATGCATACATGCATACGTATATGCACATACATACATACATACATAGATGCATGTATGCATGCATGCACATACAAACATACATACATACATGCATGCATGCATACATGTATACATACATGCATACGTGCGCATATGCACACATGCATACATGTATACATGCAAGCATGCAGTCACGCATACACACAAGCATGCGTACATGCATACCCGCATACCGTCACACGTGTACACATGCACACATGCATACATGCAGGCATGCATTACATGCATACATACATGCATGCACGCATACACACATTCACACACGCCCCCCAACAATCATACAGCCACAGCCATACATACGTACATACGTATATACACACATGCATGCAGGCATGCATACATACATGCATACATGTATAGGTATACGTACCTGTATGTGTAGATATAGATCAATGCAGCTGGGCACGGAGTGGGCGTGTCCTCAGGTCCTCGAACTACCCCTCTAACCTCAGTCGCCACCCCTCAGGAATTCTTAAAGGGTTCGGAGCCTCTCGGGTCAAATCGTCTGGAGCGTGGCGCGGTTCACCTGGGCCTTGCATCGGGTTCTCGCCTGACTTTTTCTGGCCCAAGAGGGCCCCAAGTCGGACCAAGGGGGCCTCAAGAGGCCCCCCAAGACGGTCCAAGAGAGCCCCGAATCGCTGAAGGATCGCCCGCAAGCGCCCGAGATGGCCGCCAGACGGCCCAAGAGGCCTCCAAGACGCCCAAACAGGCCTCCAAGAGGCCTTCCAAGAGGATCCCAAGAGGCGCAAATCCTTGACTGTCCTTTGTTGTGTTGACTGTTGTTGGCGTTCTCGCCTGTTCGGCTCCCAGACGCCCCCAGACGGCCCTGGAGGCCCCCAAGACCGACCCAAGACGGCCTCCAAGAGGGCTTCAAAACTGCCCAAGAGGGCCCCAAGACAGCCCAAGGGGCGCCAAAAACGCCCCAAGAGAGCCCCAAGACGGCCCCAAAAGGGCCTCAAAGAGGGAATACGAACCGAAAATCATATCCTTCCGCCCCAAGACCCCGAGAAGGCCTCAAGAGGCGACCAGGAGGCCACAAGAGGCCCCCAAGAGGCCCCAAAAAGGCACCACGAGGCCCCCAAACGGCCCCCAAGAAGCGTCCAAACTGTCTCCAAGATGCCCCAAACGAGCCCCCCACGAGATCCCAACGAGCATCCAAGAGGCACGCACAACCCAGGCACAGTGGCGTGATGGGCCGAAGGTCATAAGATCCGCCGCCCCCTGTTGGCTTGCCACAAGAGTGCCTGGCGTACTGGACTTCTTACGCTCCTCTGTTTGGTTCTTTTTCCCAAAAAGGACTCCCCCCTGGGGCTTCGGCCCAGCGCGCCAGCCACACGAAAGGGACCATAAACGAGCACAACGTCCACAAACAAATCTCCAAGGTTCAAGATGGCCTCTAAGCTGGTCACGTTGGCCCAAGATGACCTCCAAGATGGCCCAAGATGGTCCAAGTTGCCCAAGTTTGGCGAAGAAGCCATCAAGACGGCCCAAGACGGCGCCAAGATGACTCCGAGTCTGCCCAAGAAGCCTCCACGATGGCCTTAGAGGGCCCCAGAGGCTCCCAAGATGTTCCCAAAACATCCTCCAGGAGAGCCTGAAGACGCCATGTATTTTTCGAAGGCTCCAAGACGGCCCCATGAGGCCTCCAAGTTCGCCCAAGATGGTCCAATCTGACTTCCATGACGGCCTAAGAGGGTCCAAGATGGCCTCCAAGACGGTCCAAGAGGGCCCAAGATGCTTCCAAGTCCGCCCAAGAAGCCTCCAGAAAGGCCCAAGAAGGGCCCCAAAGCCATTCAGAAGCCTCCAAAACTGCCCGAGCGGCCTCCACGAGGTCCCTAGGAGGGCCTCTAGGAGGGCCCGAAGAGGCCAAAATCATTGGTATCCCTCAGGTGTTTGAAAGATTTGGGCATGTGCTTATCTTCGGCCTTCCGACAGTCGACGACGGCTCAAGAATCCCCCGAGATCGCCCAGGAGGTCTCTAGGATGGCCCGCATGACCGCCCAAGAGGCCCCAAAGACGGCCCCAAGAGGGCCCCAAGACGACCCAAGAGGCCTCCAAGACGCCCAAGATGGCCTGGCCTCCACGAGTCTCCCAGGAAGCTCCCAGGAGGCCCCGAGAGGCCCCAAGACCGCCCCAAGAGGCTCCCAAGAGGCCTCCTCCTCCTTCCTTCTTTTTCCTCCCTCTCCTGCACTCCCTCCTCCCCCAAATGTTCCGCGAAGGGCTTCCAAACCGACTCGGGGAACACATGGTCCGATGCTTGGCCAAGCTCTAGTCCAACTTTCGGCCTCATAAGCGCGTCCAGAAAGGCAGGGGGCGGCGGTGATTCGCCGTAGGCGTCTTCGATCCGCCGCCCCCTGCTGATTTATCACAGTGGTGCCTGGCGTGCAAAACCCTACAAATTTTAGTTTTGGCTTGTCCAAAAGACCTCCCCCTGGGGCTTCGGCCCAGCGCTCCGGCTACCAGGAAGGCCGCGCAATCCGCCGAACAAATTGCTCAATCGCTTCCAAGACAAGCCAAGATGGCCCAAGATGGCCTCCAAGTTCGCACGAGATGGTCCAAGATGACCTCCAAGATTGCGCAAGGGGATCCAAAATGCCTCCAAGTCTGCCCAAGAAGCCACCAAGACGGTCCAAGCTGGCCTCACGATAGCCCAAGACGCCCGCAAGAGGCCTCCTAGAGGCTAAAGGCCTTTAAGAGGTCCTTCAGGAAAGCCCGAAGAAGCCCAAATCTGTAATTTCCCGTAGGTTTTTGGAGGATTTTGGCATCTGCTTCTTGTCGGCCCTCCGATGACCCAGACGTCCCAAGAGGCCCCCAAGATCGCCCGAGAGGCCTACAAGATGGCCTCATGATGGCTCCAATAGGGCTCCAAGACGCCAAAGATGGCCTCCCTGACGGCCTTGAAGCATCCCAAGAGGGCCCCAGGTCGGTTCAGAGAGGCCCCCAGGACGACTTCCGACGGCGTCAGGCGGGCCAGGAACGCCCTACGACGGCCAAATAGGCCCCAAAGAAGCCCCCCACAGGCCCCCACGAAGCTCAAGGAGGCACCCAAGATGCCTCCAAGGATCGCCAGGAAGCTCCCAGGAGGCCCCGACACAGCATGGCAACACCTCCCCGTCCGACGACGACGACGCATCCTCGTCCGACAGCGGCGAGAAAGACACCTCTGCGTCCCACGCTGCCGCCGATTCCGACGACGACGCCGACGCCGACGCCAACGACGGCGCGGAGAACACCTCCTCGTCCGACCACGACGGAAGCCGGTCGCCTCCGCAGTCAAGGGCTCACCGTCGTCCTCCGCGTCGTCTACGATGTACTTCGCCAGGAGCCGGGTCGCGTCCCTGCCCGCGAAGGAGCCGTAAGGGCCCCCAGCGCCGTAGAAATCCCGCCCCCTCCAGACGTTGAACACCTGCATGGGGGATGGGAAGAACCGGGGAGGGGGAGGAGAGGCGAGGAGGGGCGAGGAGGAGGAGGAGGAGGAGGAGGAGAAAAAGGGGGAAGAGGAGGAGGGTGATGATGGCGATACTGATCATGAGCATGTTGCTGCTGCTGTTGCTGCTGCTGATGATGATGGTGATTGAGGATGCTGATGATGCTGCTGTTGCTGCTGATGATGATGATGATGATTATGATGAGGATGCTGATGCTGATGCTGATGATGACGATGCTAAGGATGATGATAACGATGATGTTGATGATACTGCTGATGATGATGCTGCTGTGACGAAGGATGATGAGGACAATTAACAAGATGCTGGTGATGAGGTGAGGATGATGAGGAGGATGATGATAAGAAGGAGGAGGGACACTGAGGATACGTTCGAGGAGAAGGGGAGGGATCAGGTAGAGGTGGGTGGGCGAGAAGGGGTATAATGAGAAAGAGGACGAGGAGGGGGAGGGAGGAAGATGAGGAAGAGGACTTGAGGATGAGGACCGAGAAGTGACGGAGGTTGATGAGGAGGAGAAGGGCGACGAGGAAGATGACTAGATGGGGCCGAGCTCTTCGAGCGCAGGTTCCGCACCGAGCGTGCCCAACAATGGCGGACTTGGGCTGCCAAATCCTTGGAGGTGGGCGCTGGCCTTGCACACCGCTTCACCAAGAAGGTCCTTGGGCTTATCCCAGAGAACCCACAGGGAGGCCCCCCGCCCAGCCTGGAGGAGCAGACGAGCAATCTGGAGGAGGGGAAGAGGAGGAGGAGGAGGAGGAGGAGGAGGAGGAGGAGGAGGAGGAGGAGGAAGAGGAGGAGGAGGAGGAAGAGGAGGAGGAGGAGGAGGAAGGAGGAGGAGGAGGAGGAGGAGAGGGAGGAGGGAGGGAGGGAGGGAGGGAGGAGGAGGGAGGAGGAGGAGGCGGAGGAGGAGGAGGAGAAGGAGGAGGAGGAGGAGGAGAAGGAGGAGAAGGAGGAGGAGGAGGAAGGTGTGGACCCCGTCCCCGCGAGTCGCCCACTTCCCCGATCCCTTCCTGCACCTCAGCCAAATTATCCTGACCTCTGGTGAGTGGCCCCTCCCCCAGGCCTGCCCTTCTGACATCCGCGCCGTGGCCAAGAGACTTCCTGCTGCTCTCAGATGTCGGGCTGGCATGTTTGGCCGGGCCCCGGTACCACATGGGGGGCTTAAATCACATCCCGTTCCCCGTGGGGCACATCGTCCTTGCCATTATCTCCCGTGACGACGGCGGTCGCCGTCCCATTGGTGTTCTTCCTGGGAGCACTCGCATATTCGGCCGGTTTTCCAGATTCCTAGCGAAGCGTTGGGAGCTCGAGCATCCTCGATCATACCCTTTTTGGCAACGGCGGGAGGTCATGTGAGATATCTGCCTGCAAACCATCGGTTCGACTCGAGCATGCTCACATATGCATGCAGCAGTCTGCACATGCTTGGGTTGACACGTCCAAATGTTATGAGAGCATGGCCTGCGTGCACACCGACTCGGGTTCCTTCTACGGTTGTACCGTTGTAGACGCTCGCTCCAATTTGGCATGGGGGTGCCTGCGGATATGTCTGTGGATCAAGGCATCAGTGCCGCGTGCTTTCTCTCCACGTCACTCTTATTGTGCTTCCTCTCGGATGTGCTCGACGACGGGGTCCGTCTATACCCCAGCATTTCTTTGTACACCGCCGCTGACGACATCACGATTGGTGCGGTGGGGAAGCGCAGGCACGTCATTGCCATGATCCCCGGGGCTACCAAGTTCATCTGCATCCTCAATCTCCCCACAAACAGGCCTCGCCACGAACTCGTCGGCCCAGATCGTCCAGGTCATCCGCTTCGGCCTCAGGTCTTTCGGACTTCCAGGACAAGGGGGCCACCGAGAACCTGGGGGTGGACTTTACTGGGGTTCGGAGGCGCTCTACAATGGTCCAACAGCGTGGGTGGCAATCATTGCTCCCTTGGGTCTTCAGGTTTAGGGGCCTCTAGTCCACCTTCTCGGGCATGCAGAGGGTCCTCAAGACGGGCGGCCCCCCTGCGGCCTTCTGTGGTGTCAGGATCACTGGCATGGCCCCCGCCCAGCTGGCCTCGATCAAGGCCATCATCGGAAAATCTGTTTTTGGGTCCGCCAGTGGCCGCAGTGGGACCTTCAAGTTCCTGCTGAATTAGTTCCTGCTGAATCAGGACCCGAACCTTTTGCCGCTGGGCATGCGGCACCAAACATTCCTGCAATAATTGGTCCATCGCTCCATGCTGGTCGCGTGCTGGAAACACTACAAAACCAGCCGCGCTCCCGTTACATGGTCTCATGTGCTGGGGCCCACGGGTGCTGTGCTCGCTACGTTGCCTCGCTGGGGGTGGGTGGGGGAGGAGATTGACAAGAGGGACATCGGGGACGGGACCTGCTCGACCCCTCCACCTTCGGACGCCATCAAATTGCCGCCCTCACATAGCAAAACACGTGCCGCCAGCTGCTGCGCCGTGCCCCCGTTCCGTCGACCGATGGCAACCTCAAACCACCCTTGATCACGGTGATCCGCGAGGAGCCCCAGAGTTTTCGCAAACAGGGAACCTAGATGCCGTCATCTTCTTTGGCGGCGTGCAAGTGGTACCCTTGCCAGCCAAATGCAACTGTGTGTGTGGGCCGGAAGGTGACCAACACGTTATACCTGTCGTGTGGTCAACTCGTGGGACTCCCCAAGCGCAGGCTCTACGCGCGCCCTGGGTTCACCTTCTTTCGTCAAGACCTGGATCTGGACGATGCTATTCAAGACGGCGTATATAGGCCTGATCAGGGTTTGTTGTCTACTAGAGCCCTTTTACCCGACCCTGGGGCCGACTGCCCCCCTGTCCATGGTTATGTTGTTCCCATCCTACTTAAGGACCACATCCCAGAAATAATTTCGAGCATCCGGAAAAGTGCCAAAAGAGTGTCGAAACAGTGTCGGGCGAGTGTCTCCCAAGGCCCGACACGTGACGACCCCTGAGCTTCGGTACCTTTTGTTGGCGCTCGAAGTGCGTGCTGGTGGTCGAAGCTAAAGCAGGCTGGAGCATCCTAAGTCTATGGCTCTGTCGCGGCACTGGCATCGCAGCACTGCCTCTGGGAAATTGCGCCGTCGGCTCTGCGCTGACGGTTCTCGGGGCTGGACAGCGGGGTGCTCTTGGCCCCTCCCCCGCCCCCCTGGGCATCGCTTGGACGTCCGTTCCCTGTGTTTTGTTCGGCTTCGTGCGTGTTTTTTTCGCCAAGTGATCAAGGATGCTCCTCGATGGTCCTCGCCGAAGGAACAATGCACACGTCCGAACGATGCCAAGCCCCTCTCGGCGCAGCGGAGGGGGGGGGGAGGTCCGTGCCCTGCGCGTGGCCCGCCGATGGGCGGGCCCTGGCCCCCTCGTGACTTTTGGTGACCGCCGACTCGTGGGCGTGTGGTCCGCTGGACCCAGCGCGCCCCCTGGGCGGCTTTTTGTTGCCGGAACTCTGGGGCGAGGCGTTCTTCCTGGCTTCGGATATGGCTACCTACCAGACCACCCCAATCCAACCCGAAGACCCGAATTTCGGGTTGGGGGGGGATACGGGTTCCACATGTGTTTTCTCGATGTTCCCCGACCCCCCCCACTGGAAATGGAGGTCAGTTTGAGGCCGTCGGGTGGGGTTGGGGCGGTTTGGTGGGTGGTGAGGATATGCGGGACGGGGAAATGACCACAGCCACGGCTTCTTGTTTGCGCCGCCTTCCAGCCGCCCGAAGAAGAAGCAGTGGTCGTGGTCCTTTTCCCTGGTGCCAAGCTTAACGAAAATGACCACAACCACTGCTTTGTGTCTGCTGGCTGGAAGGCGGCAACAAGAGAAAAGCAATGGCTGTGGTCGTTTTCGCGTCTCGTAGGATATCGGGGTCGAGAACATCGAGCTCCGAACAATCAAGACCCAGCCCTCCTGGCAAGCCTGTTCCAGGACTGCTCATGTGCCGTTCTGGGCATGGTTTGGTCACGCGCTCGCTGGCAAGCTAGCGGAGTTGGATGCCCAAGCGCACGCGTCCAATCCTGACCTTGTGCGGAAGCGCAACGGTAGCCGCGAATCCGTGATGCAAGTGTGCAAATTCCTTGGTACATTTTGGCAAGCACCTTTCTGTTTATTTCCCTGCTGTTCAACGGGTGAGCAAAAAACCGTCGGCCGTCATTTGACACGTTGCAGCTCGTCCCTGGTCGTCAAGGCCACGTGTTGCAACGAATCGGCAAATCGGGGAAGGCTTCTACTTGCAACCGCTGTGGGACCCGAGGTCCCTCTGAGCGTTCGGTGTGTGTGTGTGTGTGTGTGTGTGTGTGCGTGTGATGCCCTCACTGGCCCGCCTGGCTGGCACGAGCCATCGACTGTGGCTCATGGGAGCCATCGACTGTGGCTCATGGGCTCCTCGATGGCGTGGTGTTCCTCGTGCACCGCCTCTGGGACGTCGCGGCTCCGCCCTCTCGGTGGCTCCTGACGCGGGTGCCCCCCCGCAACACAGACGGACAGAAGAACTTGAGGCTGCTCGAAGAGGGGCAAGACCCTCCCACCAACCGAATGGTCGGACGGCCTTGCCGCCGCACTACCACCATCTAACTCGGTGCTGACTTCCCCGTTTTATCCTCGCGCGCCTTGCTTAATCTGGAGGCAGACGTTCCGCAGTTTGACGGAGCTTGGAGGAGGATGGGTAGAGCGACGACATGAGAAGGAGAAGGTGGGGAGGAACGTGGAGGAGTTTGAAGAGATGACATGAGAAGGAGGGAGATGAGGGGGAGTTCTGGGGAGGAACAGGCGGAATTCAAGGAGGGGTGGGGGGCAATCTAGGGGAGACGGGGGAGCACTGGGGGTGAAGGAAGGAGGGAGCAGGAGAGGGTGGTGGTGGGAGGGAAGGAGGACATTGACGACTACGGATGGTGATGGAAAAGAGAAATGGATGAGGATGTTGCAGACGGGGTTGCGTATGGAAGGGAGGAGGAGGAGGAGGAGG